CCCCCAGCGAGGCCTGGGCCGAGATCAGCGTCACCAAACGCCTCAGGAGGCTGAGGAGGGGGAAAAAGGGTCTCTGAGCCCCCCCCAAATCACACTGAGCCCTTCTGGGACCCCCCAAATCACACTGAACCCCCCAAATCACACTGAACCCCCCCAGGGTCACCCAGAACCCCCCAGAGTGTCCCAGGACCCCCAGGGCTGAGATTGGGGTCACCACGAGACCCCTCTCCCCAGTCCCCCCTAGCTGGGTCCTGGGACCCCCCAAACCGGGTCCTGGGAGCCCCCAGCTCCCCCCAAAACACATCCTGGGACCTCCTAGGCCCCCCTAAATCAGCCCTAGGACCCCCCAGCCCTCCTAAAGTGGGTCCTGGGACCCCCCCAAAACACATCCTGGGACCCCCCAACTCCCCCAAACCAGGTCCTGCCCCCTCCCATCTCCCCCAAACCAGGTCCTGGGACCCCCCAGCTCCCCCAAAATCAGCTCTAGGACCCCCCCAACCCCCCCAGATCAGTTCGAGGGACCCCCCCAGACTCACAAGGAGAGCAGGAGGGCGAATCCCGCCAGGTAAAGGGGTCCTGCCCCCCTCCCATCTCCCCCAAACCAGGTCCTGGGACCCCTGAACCACACCCCAAACAGGTTCTAAGACCCCCCCAGCCCCCCCAAACCAGGCCCTGGGACCCCCCAAACCCCCCTGGGACCCCCCCCAGACTCACAAGGAGAGCAGGAGGGCGAATCCCGCCAGGTAAAGGTTCCTCTGGGCCCGGAAAAGCTTCATGTGGAAATGCTCCAGGGCCCCGGGGGTGCTGTGCAGGGCCTCCCTGTCCCCCAAATTGTACTTACGGGTCTCCCTCAGGGCATCTGGGGGGTGGGAGGGGGATTTAGGGGGGCTGAGACCCCCAGAACACCCCCAGGATCATCCCAGAACAATCCCAGGACCCCCCCAGCCCCAAAGGGCCTCCCTGTCCCCCAAATTGTACTTAGGGGTGTCCCTCAGGGCATCTGGGGGTGAGGGGGGATTTAGGGGGGGCTGAGACCCCCAAGAGCCCCCCAAAAATCACCTCAGGACCCCTCAGGAATCACCAGAACCATCCCAGGACCCCTGGACCTGAAGGGCCTCCCTGTCCCCCAAATTGTACTTAGGGGTCTCCCTCAGGGTATTGGGGTGAGGGGGGATCATTTAGGGGGGGTTGAGACCCCCCAGGACACCCCAGAACCCCCTGGAACCCCCAAGACCCCCCCCCAGCCCCAGGAATTCCCACCCAGGACCCCCCTTGGGATCCCCAAGACCCTCCCAGGACCCCCCAAAACCTGCTATGGACCCCCAGGACCCCCCCCAAACCCCCCAGGACCCTCTCAAACCCCCTCCCAGGACCCTCCCAGACCCCCCCTGACCCCCCTAGAACCCCCTGGGACCCCTCCCAGAACCCCCAGGACACTCTGGGATCCCCCAAGACCCCCCCCAGACCCTCCCAGGACCACTCAAGACCCTCCCAGGACCCCCAGGGACCCCCCCAAAGCCCCCCCCCGTCCCCACCGAGCAGCAGCAGGACGAGGATGACGATGAGGACGATGAAGAAGGTGTTGCCGTAGGACACGGCCAAGGCCACCAGGCGGGACCTGAAGATCTTCTGCCATCTGGGGGGGGGGGGTTTAAGGGGGTTGGGACCCTCCCCCAGCTCTGGGGACCCCCCAAAATCCACCAGGACCCCCCAGAATTCCAGGGGATCCCCCAAAACCCAGGGAACCCTCCCCAGAGGCACCAAACGGGACCTGAAGATCTTCTGCCATTTTTGGGGGTTCACGACCCTCCCCCAGCCCTGAGGACTCCCCAAAATCCACCAAGACCCCCCAAAAGCCAGAGGACCCCCCTCAGAGCCCCCCTAGGACCCTCCCCCAGCCCCTGGGACCCCCCAATCTACCCCCCCAGGACCCCCAAATTCCCACACACACCCAACCCCCCCCCCAGGGCCCCCCCCCAATCCTTGGGGCCCCCCGGGGCCCCCCCCCCCCCCCCGGGAGCCCCCAAAACCCCCCCCCCCAAATCCCCCCCTTTCCCCCAGACCTGGCGGGTGACACGAAGGGGACGCAGAGCAGCAGCACCAGGAAAACCTCCGCGTACAGGAACGTGGCCACCGCCGTCCACTGCAGGCTCATGGTGGCCTTGGGGAGGGGAGCGAGGGGACGATTTGACCCAAAAATCCCCCCCAAAATCCCCCAAAACCCCCCCAAAAAACGCCCCTCTCACCTCGCGCTGCTGCCCCGCCCGGACCGGAAACGCCGCCAAAAGTCCCGCCTACTTTTGGGAAAACGGCCAATCGGAGCGCGCGAAGGGCGGTAACAGCCAATCAGAGAGGGTGAAAGGGCGGAAAAGGGAGGAGAAGGTGAAGCCGCTTCCGCCCGCCATCTTGTCTGCCCTGCCCGGTTCTGTCATGGCGGCGGGTGCGGGGTGAGATGGGGGGAGAAAGCGAGGACGGGAATTGAAAGGGGGGGCACCTGCTACCTCTGGAGGGTGATGGAAATTCAGGAGGAGTCGTCCGGTACCGGCGGAGGGGGCGGGAATTGAGGGGGGGGCGTCCGGTACTGGCGGAAGTTGCGGAGAAACGGCGCCTATGGGGAGACCGTGGGTTGTCACGTGATCCTGGAGGGCCAATGGGGAGCGCTGTGATTGGTCAGCTGATCGCGGGGCACGCTGGGAGTTGCAGTTTACCACGTGATCCCAGCGGACCAATGGAAATTGCTGGTTTTCGTCACGTGATCCCAGGGGCACGCCGGGAGTTGTAGTTCGTCACGTCCCGTTTCCCTCCCTTTTTTAAAACACCGAAACTTTCAAAAACTCGCATTATTTATAATTAAAAAGCGTTTTCCCTCTAAATCCCGGCGGTAACTACAGAATTCCCGCAAAATTCAGGGTCTACCCAGGTGTGTTCCCTGTGCAAGCCACGCCCCCTCGTGGAAGCCACGCCCCTCTCATGGAAGCCACGCCCCCTCCGAATAAAAAATGTTCTATTATTACGTTTAATAACGCCCAAATAGACCAAAATATGAACAATAATTGCGCTGTGAAAGTGTTCTACTACCGTGAATAATAGAATATCATTATATATAAAATAATGTGGGTTAAAAAACCAACTGTTTGTCCGTATAATTGTATTTATTGTATTATTCTATTACATTGTTATTCTGACTTATAGTCTCTCCTTTGAGTTGGTTTCGTTTCCTGTTTAATTTTTATGTTACACCTGCACACAACAGATAATTTACATAACCTGATTTAGCCCCGCCCCCTCAACTGCAGCCCCGCCCCTTCTATTTAGCCCCGCCCTTCCATTTAGCCCCACCCCTCCAGCCCACCTCTGCCCCTCCCCCTTTAGCCCCACCCCTCCTTCCCATTGGCCCCGCCCCCAGCATTGATTGACAGACTCGGATTCGTGGGACGTGTTTATTGGGGGGGTTTGGGGGGTCCTTGGGGGGTCCCAGGGGGGGATTTTGGGGGTCCCTTGGGGGGTGGTTGATTTGGGAGTCCCAGGGGGGGATTTTGGGGGTCCTGGGAAGGATTTTGGGGGTCCCTTGGGGGGAGTGGTTGATTTGGGGGTCCCAGCGGGGGATTTTGGGGGCCCCTTGAGGGGGGTGGTTGATTTGGGGGTCCTGGGGGGGGTTGTCCCTGCATATTTTTGGGGTCCCATGGGGATTCTGGGGGGATCCGTGGGGAGGTTTTTGGGGACTTGGGGGGAATTTGGGGGGGCCCTGGGGGTGGTTGAGTGTTTTAGGGGTCCCTGGGGGGTCCTGGGGGGTATTTTGGGGGTCCTGGGAAGGGTTTGGGGGGTCCTTGGGGGCCCCTTGAGGGGGTGGTTGCTTTAAGGGTCCCGGGGGTGTCTCTGGGTATTTTTGGAGTCCTGAGGAATTTTGGGGAGTCCCGGGGGTACTTTGGGGGTCCCCGGGGGTTGGGTGTGGGTGGGGTCTCAGCCCGGCCCCTCCCCCAGCAGGAGCAGCCCCAGCAGGACCCCCCCAAAAAGCCCCAAAAGCACCAATTGGGGTCTCAGGGGGAGGAACCGCCCGGGGGGGGCCGGGGGAGGGTCCCAGGGGGGTCCCCGAGGGGGGTCCCAGGGGGGTCCCGGGGGGGCACGAAGGGGCTGCCGAGGCTCCAAACGCAGGGGGCTGGGAGGGAAGAGGGGTTAGGGGGGGCTCAGGAGGGGTCTGGGGACCCCCAGAGACCCCCAAAACCCCCCCCAAAAAATCCCCCCCAGACACCTCAAAATCACCCCCAAAAATCCCCCCCGAGACACCCCAAAGTCCCTCCCAATCACCCCCAGAGATACCCCAAAATCCCCCCCAGACACCCCCTAAAAATCCCCCAAAATCCACACCCAAGGCCTCCAAAATCTACCCCCGAGACCCCCAAAAAATCCCCCCCAGAGCCCCCCAAAGACGCCCCAAAATCTCCCCTAAAAATCCCCCTGAGACCCCCGAAAATTTCTCCAGAAACCCCCCAAAAATGCCCCCCAAACCTCCCCAAAATCCCCCCCAGAGACCACCAAAAATACCCCCCAGAGATCCCCCAAAATCCATCCCTGAGACCCCCCAAAATCCCCCTCAGAGACCCCCAAAATCCCCCCAAAACCCCCCAAAATTCATCCGAGACCCTCCCAAATCCCCC